TGAGATGGCTACCCAATTGCCAGACTCCAGTCAGAACTCTGAAGTTCACGAAACAAAGTCCCCAACATGCAGGACCTCTTTTGTTGTTGTTGTTGTTATTGTTGTTGTGTGTGTGCGCTAGGCAAGTGCTCTACTACTGAGCTACACTTCAGAGCTTTTGTTCTTAAAACTTTTCCTTTTTTTTTAGCCAGGGGTAGTGGCTCATGCCACTCATCAGGAAGATCGTGGTTGGAGGTGGGGAAAGGTAGTAAGACCCCATTTCAACAAACAAGCTGGGTGTGGTGGTTCAGGCCTGTGGTCTTAGCTACAAAAGAGGCACAGAAAGGAGGACTGCAGGCTGTCACACCTGTGTGAAGGTCATACCTGCTTTGAGCTGAGCACTGAGCAGCTTCTGGAAGATGACAGCTGCTGAGGCAGGTACTGTGGGGGTGACTTACACCTGTGCAGAGCAGTTGCCACAGCAACAGCAGGGGCCCAAGGTGACTCACAGGATTTGGGATGGGGCACAAGAGGAGGAAGATACACATTCTGAGTTGGTGGGAAGGGCTGGCTAGTAGGCAATCAGTGTTTTCCACACCAGATTTTAGACCTTGAACAAAGCAACTTGGATAAAGCCTAATTCGTCCACCATGAGGCCGGGAAATCAGCTCCTCCTTGTGCACAAAGCAGCCTGCAGAAAGGACCTACTGTGGGCTAGTGCCCAGCCTGCCCCAGCAAGACCCAGCAACAGCTGGGCATAGTGGCGAATGACCGGATTCCAACACACATGAGGCTGAGGCAGAAGCACTGCAAGCTAGAGGCTAGCCTGGCCTACATAACAAGTCTCAAAACAAAACAAAACAAAACAAAACCACCAAGAAACCTGGCAGCATCTCCTCTGCTGGATAGACACATTGGGAACACAGATGTGTGCTCCGGGCACAAAGCCACCCTGCAGAAGCTGTCAGGGAAAGCTGGGTAGCGACACAGAGAGAGCCTGGCGCTCAAGATCAGGAGGCATGGCTTAAGTGGTGGAGCACCTGTCTAGCAAGCATAAGGCCCGAGTTCAAACTCCAGTGTACTAAAAACAAAGTTCCAGTCATCCATTTATTTCTTAGGCACCAGTACACATGCTGACTTTCACATTCATGGGAACCTGTAACGTGCCCTTTTACAAGTTCCACAGGAGCTGGAGCCACACCACGGCTCCTGCCAGCCCAAACCCATGTCTGGAAGGAGACGGCATGTGTGACTCTACACCAACCGGAGCACTGAAAGGGCTGTGGACTGAAGCGACTGGAAAACCAGGGCCCTGACCGTAGAACCCAGTGTGTTTGTTTACTCTCATAGCCATCTGTCCTTGGCCAGACACCCAGCTCCTCAGCAAGCAGATCAGTCTCTCTGTTTAAGCCACACCATGTAAACCACCACCTGAGAACACAGGGAAATAGCTAAACCCTGAGGACAACAGCCTTTAGCTGTGGACTGACGGCTCAGTCTGGTTTTGGTCCTCCCTGGAACGGACAGCTCCTCTTCCCACTCAGCAAAAGGCCTGCTTCGTTTTTCCTTCTGCCTCTCTACAGCTAGAAAAAACTCGGGGCTGGAGGATCCATGGCAGGGAAGGGATTTGGCAATGCTCGAGACCCTCCACTAAGCCCACCCAGTGGCCACCTGGCAACCTCCAAGTGAGCAAAAGGGTGGCTGGCAACATAGCTGGAGTGGCTGCTTTGCAGAGGGGCAGATGACATGGGAGGACAGCCAACCTCATGCTGGACGAGGTAGTACATACTGCTTCAGACCCCCAAAATCTAGTGACAGGGAAGGTGTGATCAATGTGTCCAGGGCTTTCAGGCACACACAAACCACTCATGGAAGTTTGAAAGATATTTATTTAAAAACAGAACAAAAAAGCTTTGGTATTTTAAAACCCAACAATCATCCATCTCTAGAAAGTTAAACACCTATCCCAAAGCTGGAAAGTACAAACCCACAGGTCCCACAGGCTCATGGTAAGGAAGGGACAAGGTGCGAACCAATGATGGCAGGAGACCACACCCTCCAGGATGGCCACCTGGGGGCCCAGGTCCAGCCTCAGGACTGCACAAGGCCTCCAGACACCACTGAGGAGGCACGGGTTGGATGTCACTGCCAACACTCACCATCTAATGTGGATGCAAAAGCCATCCAGCAAAATCTCAACAAAAATAAATTAGAAATTCATTCAAGAAAGAACACATTAAATTAGGAAAAGAACACAATTTTTCCTAAACAAAAGTCTATTCAAAAGAGGATCTATTTCCTGGGTCAGAAGAAAGGGGGGAAGTGGAAGGAGTGAGTTCAATTTCAAGTATTTTCCCTAAGGGTTCATTTTATTGAGTGGAAAGCTTACAGAAGTCTGCTGGCCCCTCCCTCCTTCCAGTGCAAACTCTTGTATCCACAAGTGCTTCTGCGTCACTGTCCCCCCACAAGGCACAAAGGGTGGGTGCTTCCAAAGGACCCCTTGTTCATTGCAGCCACAGGATGCTCAGTGCTGGGTGTCTTGTGCAAATGGTGGCCGAAGGCAGGACTTGCAGTTCACTCAGACACTGGGATCTTCCTGTTCAATTATCGAAACAAGGGATTACTGTTCATTGCCAGCCCACGGTCAGCTATGGAAACATCAAGGGAAGCCAGCCACAGAGACAACCCTGGTGGCACCAGCCCAAGGCCAGGCTAGCATTAGCATGGACTTAGTGGCCTGTGGCCTCCTCAGGCTGATGTGGCACATTTGCTGGGTTCTGTTGTGGCCCATCTCGAGTGTGAGAAAGGGACACGGGTCAGTTCCCCATGGAGGCGGTTTGGCTTATGTCCCTGACTGTATGGAAACCAAGAGTACCCATAAGAACAAGGGCAGAAAAGCAGCCAGCCTGTTCCACAGAGGCTACAAAGCCCACGCAATGCAAATGTGGCACCTTTTCTATTACAGCTGGTAGAAAGAGGGTTCCCTAGGGATACTTTCTGCTCAGTTTTTTTTTTTTTTTTTTTTTTTGAGATGGAGTCTCACTATATAGCCCAAATTAGCCTCAATTCATGTTCCTCCTGTTTCAGCCTCCCAAGTATTGGGATTTCGGTGTACATCACCACTATGACTGGCTTGCACACTGCTTTTTGTGTGTGTGTGGTCCTGAGGCTTGAACCCAGGGTCTTGGGCATGCTATACAAAGGCTCTACCCTTGAGCCATACCCCAGCCCTTGTACATTGCTTTTCCATTTTTCTTTTGTCAGTATTAGGCTTTGAACTCAGGGCTTCACACTTGCTAGACAGGTGCTCTACCACTTGAGCCACTCTGCCACCCGGATCTGACTTTTATTTGTTCTACTAGTGTGAGGAGCTCAGGCTTGCCTCCCCCCTCTCCTGCTCCTGCAGGTCAAGCACAGCTTCCTCTTCCATGTCCTGGCCTTGGGCCAGAAACCAGAAGACATAAAGTTTCCCTGTGTATACGAAAGGACACTACATGGGGTCCTGACCGCTGGGGGCACACACAGCTCTATGGCACTACAGCTTGGCAAGAGAAAGGGAGGGGAGTTAGTAGGACAGGAATGGAAGGACAAGGGAGGAAAGAGGAGAGAAGGAAAGGCAGAAGGGAAGGGAGAGGAGAGAAGAGAAAGGAAAAGCTCAGATCCTTCTGAAATGCTTTGTTCTTCGACTGCCAGTGTGGCCCTCTGGTCCCTCTCCTGAGAGGTTCTAGCAGTGAGAAAGTACAGAATACCAGCCAGCAAATGAGGTTGCTTCATTCAGAAAGCACTAAGATACCCAGCTGACTGTCTCTGCAGCAATGGGAGTCAAAAATCCCAGCTTCCTGGGGACCAAGCTGGCTCAGGAATCAAGGGGAATGTTACTGTGTGCTGTTCTGTGCTGACAAAAATGACAACTCACATGGAGACCCTGACCTCTAAAGGCAATGGCCAGGCCTTCATAGTGAGGACAGGGGCATACCAGCAGTTCATTTGGAACCCCAAGCAATCTAGGGAGTCTGTTATTTCTGAATGCTGAGATTAGGGGGAGGGAAAGCCAGAGGGCTCATCTGTTCACATTGGATTTCCACAGCCACCCCATTTCAGTACCTTCTCTCCGAAGTCACTCTAATGTCCTCTCAAAACACACTTGCAGCTGGCACTGGTCGCTCGCACCTGTAATCCTAGCTAATTGGGAAGCTGAGATTGGGAAGACAGCAGTTCGAGGCCAGCCCAGACAGTTAGTTCATGAGACCCCCCCACCCCCAAATCTCCAAATAGCCAGAGCAAAAATGGACTGCAGGTGTGTGGCTCAAGCAGTAGTAGACCACCTGCTTTGCAAGCATGAAGCCCTTAGTTAAAATCTCAGTGCCACCAAAAAAAAAAAAAAGCAGACACTAGCGCCTCTCACTGGTGTCAAGAGTTGCAAGATGAGCTGAGTCAGAGAGCTGGAATGAACACCTCCAGCCGCGAAGTGCCACCGGGCGAGCCTAGCCTTGGCCCTGAAGATGGGCTGTGGCTCACAGGATTCCACAGTACTCGGATGTAGAATGAAGCTTGAAGAGAGAAGAAAAGGTGGAAATGAGGGTGAATGCGAGGAGCTACACGACCAGAAGAGGAAGGCAGCCCCAGGAGTCCATGCTGGGCCATGTGCTCATCATGGGCCAGGATGGCCTTGAGATGCAGCGGTGCCGCGCAGCGTCCTGCAGGTTGTGTGGAAAGGTCGCGTGGAGGGATGGGTTATATGCAGTGGTGGAGGCTGGTGGTCACCATGGATGGAGAACGGTCATGGTCCCCCAGGACGACGTGAGGTAGCTCCACGAAGGGTCATGTCAGGCAGCCCCGCACTCGCAAGGCATAGATTGGAGCAGGTGGCCACGGGACTTCCATCGACAACGAACTTCTGGACACGTGGACAAGTAGGGATTGGCGGGTCTTGCCCTCAGCAATCCGGACGAGAGCGAACGGCCAGGTCAAGCGTGTGGTCATGGTCTTGTAGCGGGATGACCCGGTGTGTAAGCGCAAAGCTAATAGCTGTTGTGCAGCACATCAGGGTCAGCCTGGAACTGCAGGTGGTTCTCTGTGAACTGAAGCCCCCCAAAGCTAAGCACCATGCCCTGCAGGATGCCTGGGGCGCCCACCTTCACCAGCCCCTTGCAGCTGCGCTTCTGCAGGGTCAGCTTCCACAGGTCAGACAGTTGCAGGATCTGCTGGACCGAAGACAGCCGGCTAGGCCACAGGTTCTCGGCATGCATGGTAGCGTGGCCACTGAAGCAGTGGTCTTCATAGTTGAGTGTGGACTCCATCTGGTCTCGCTCCCTGTGGCTCAGGGAAGGGCTGAGCAATGGGGCTGGTGAGCAGGAGAGCATGTAGTACAGCGTCAGGTTCACAGCCCGAGTCTAGGGCCGGACGGAGATGTGATTGCGGCATGCATGTTAATGGTTCTTCATTTCACCACAGCCTATAAACACCTACAAAGGGTTTGCAAATTACGGAGAAGGACCCTGCTGAGGGCAGAGGAGATGGAACAAAGGTCAGGGGCAGCAGGGGAGTGAAGTTTTGGGCCCTGGAAATGCAGACAGCAGCTCTGGTCCCTCAAGCATGGGAAAAAGTCATCCTGCCTAATGTGACCAATTGGAGCCCACTGGTCTGAAACCCAAAGTCCCATTCAAAGAAAGTGAGGCCTCCTGTCAAAGCCAAGAACAACACATGTTTGGCCAGGACTTTGCACCAACCCTATAGTCTGGGTTCCCCACACCAGACACTGTCATCAGTGTGCCATGGCCCACTCCTACCACATTCTCCTACCCAGCGTCAGGTAATATGTAGCTGATAACTTTGAACTAGATGCGTCCTCAAAGGATTTGTATGAAATGTAGGTAACCGATAGTGTACTCCCAAATATGAATGAATTCTAGACTTAAATGGCTAACTCACCCCATCTTTGGTGCTGCGTCCGTGTCCCCCGCCATCCCCTGGACAGCATGTGTGACCTGACATGGTTTGAACTCTTTCAGTTCTGACTCAACATATCCCCAAGTTGTCTCCAAGCAACTACTCATACCCCCAAATTTGGAAGTCATTGTCTAGGACTCACTCTTCACAGTCAATCCATGTCCCAGCAGTTGCGGACTCCAAGAACGTGTCAAGAATATACCCACCCCGCTCTACGCTCATGCGGATACACAGCTCACATCACCATGCCCTTCCCAGCTACTTCCTTCCCCACCTGGGCTTCTGCAAAAACCTGGTACTTATCTCCATGCATCTGCTTTTGTCCCTTCACAATCTATACTCTGCACACAGCAGCCAGGGGGATTTTTTCCATCCATTTGAATAAAACTCTCCACTCTCACAAAAGGGACTTATTCTAACGGTCCCACCGACCCGTGGTGCCTAGGTCGTGCATTGCCACACTGCCAGCGACTAAGGCTGTCCAATCCTAACTCTGCTCCTGCCTGGGGCAGTCTCCAACCTGTATACTCTCCTCCCCATCACGTGACTGGCTCAGGTCTCATCTGTCTCTGAATCACAGGACCTCCCTGATGATGAGGTTAAGCCAAGACCCACTGCCCCACACTCTCACCCCTACTCTACTCAACCTCCATCACATTTTTTTATTTGAACTCAGGGCCTCACACTTGCTAAGCAGGCACTCTATCACTTGAGCCATGCCCCAGCCCTTTTTGCTCTGGTTCTTTTGGAGATAGGGTCTCACTTTTTGCCCAGGCCAGCATGGACTGTGACCCTGCTATTCATGTTTCTTGCAATAGGTTGGATGACAGGTGGGCATCACCATCCCCAGCTTTTTCTGTTGAGATGAAGTCTCAAGAACTTTTTGCCTAGGCTGGCAAGCAGCCCAGGCCTGTTCCAAGCAGAACATGGTGGCCTGAGAAAAGGGTTCAGGATCCCCCTGTTGCTTTACTTCTTCTGAACTGACCCTAAAAAACACCTGCTCAAATCAGGCCTCACCTACAAGAACAAATAACAAGACCAGATCTCAACACTCAATTGTCCACTCAAATTTCATAAAAGCCCTCTTACTAAGTGGTCCAGCAGAGATTCAATGCCCGATCAAACATCAAGGCCAAGTTTTAACCTTCTGTGTCCCCTCCACAGACGTAGGGAGGGCATCTCTAGGGTGGACCGTGGACACCAAGCCCTTGCAGGCCTCACCTGGGCTGAACAGCTGCGCCCAGAGGTGCTGGTGGTCCTGCAACAGCTCAGACGCGGGCAGCTCCAAGAGTTCCAGCATCTCCTTCCGGGCCAAGTCCTGCAGCGCCTTAAGCTCCTTGGCTGCTTTGCTTTTGAGCACCTGGGGGTGGATGGGGCCTGAGACATGCACCACCCACAGCACCGTCTCATCCAACTGCGTCTTGGGAGCTACCTGGAGCCGGTTCACTAGCTTCTTGGCGGCCACCACCACCAGGTGCACCAGCCCAGTAGGAAGGGGCGTGGATCGGCCGGAGTAGAGGAGGAATTGATGGTCTCCCACCTTCTCCAGGGTACTGGTGAAGGCCTTGGGGCCAGGGCCGACAGTGGGCCCCACAGTCTGCAGCGCGGCCACGCGCTCTGTGGGGTTGTTGAGCTGGATGCGCTGCAGATAGACGTGGGGTCGGCCCCGGTGCGCCAGAAAGTCCTCCTGCAGTAGCACGCAATCACGGGCAGACCCCGCAGCCAGGCCAGAGGCCGAGGCGGGCCCCGAGCCCGCGACCGCAGGGCCCGAGCCTGGGGTCCCGAGCTGCAGGCAGCGCACCCGGCGTAGCAGCCCCTCCCGCAACAGCAGCACTGCCTCTCCAGCTTCTGCCAGCACGTTCAGCGGGCGTAGCTGCACAAAGGGCACGAAGTCCGGCGCCACGGCGGGCTCCCGCTCCCCGGGTGTCACCCACAGCCGGTTGGCGGCCGCGTCCAGAGCCAGGAAGCCGTTGGCCACCAGGGCTGGCACTCCAGGGCCCAGCGGCACAGCCTCGCCGCGCTCCCGCAGGCCGCGCCAGGCGCGGGTGGCCGCCTCCAGACACGCAGACGGCTCGGCCGCGCCCGGCTCGCCGCGGGCCCAGGGCGGCAGATGCAGACCGCCCGCTGCTCGCCGCGCCCCGGAGCCCGCGAACCACAGGAGCAACAGCAGGAGACCGAGTAGGAAGAGGAGGCGGCGGGCCCAGCTGCTCGACAACAGTCCCGGCAGCCCCTTAAGCCGCTGCTGCAGCCACATCGGGCCGCCAGGCGCGGGCAACGGCGCGGGGGCGGCCGCCGGGCCCGCTGCCCAGCCCACCGGCCCGGCCGCCCCCGCCTCACTCCCCGGCCGGGACCGCAGCGCCCACCCCGACGCCCGCCACAGTCACCCCTGCGGCCGCCACCGCTGCTTCCTCCTCCTCCTGGGTTGCCTCCCCGCCGTCAAACGACGCCAGCCGTAAAGCACCGCCTAATCTTTTGCGACAGATGTAAAAGGGGCGGGCGGAAGGAGAAGAGGGGGCGGGGAGAAGGAGAAAAGGGGGCGGGGAGAAGGAGACGAGGCGGAGCCACATTGGGGGCGGGACCGTGGCGTCGTGGGGCGGGGTACTTGCTTCAGGCCCCAAGAGTAAAAAGTACAAAGAGGCCCGGAGCTCTCCAATTCGCTTGTAAAAAAAAAGAAAAAGAAAAATCACAGAGCCAGCCAAACTGAACATGTGTTGAGCCTCATTTGCTACTGATGGATTCAACAGTCCTGAGATTAAAAAAAGAAATTGTTTCTGTAAAAATCATGATCCTTACTGGAAAGAGAGAGGAAGAGAGGGAGGAAGGGTGAGAGAGAGAGGGAAAGAGAGAAAGATAATAACCACTGGGAACTGGACTTCCTAGGAAAGATTTTGCTGACAACTCTTCCAGACCCATCTAGCCACATGTACACCAGATGGGGACACAAATCCAGCCAAGAACTGGCAGTTTCTTGATCAAACCAAGTTGCCTTCTTAACATCAACTCTGAGTTTTAGCATATTAAATAACATAAAAACATTAAAGTCTCACACTTTGAAAATGCCTTTAAATTGTGAGTGCAAAAAAAAAAAAAAAAGAAAAAGAGAGAAAGAAGTTTTGCTTTATATCCTTGGAAAAAATTCAGTATGAGCACAGGGACAGGGACAGACAATGGGTGAGTGTTTCCACTTCAGTTTCTGGACATTCCAAAGCTAGACAGGGCTTCACAGTTTTGTTGAAAATTAAACAGTCATTTGAGGTAGCTTCTTGTGAGCCATGAGCCAGCTGACACATACATGTTGGCCAAGGTGTGGGCCAGCACCCTGTTGGAAGGTGCTCTCTGGCTGATGCCTGTTTTTCTTTTCTTTTATTTATTTTTCAGACAAGATCTCACTGTGTTACCCAGACTGGCCTTGAACTCCTGGGCTCAAGGGATCTTCCTGCCTCAGCTTCCCTAGTTATAGGTGTGTGCCCAGTGTTTACCCTTGAAAAAAACATTATTGAGCTGGTTGTGTGGCTCAGTGGTATAGCACTTGCCTAGCATTCATGAGGCCCTGGATTGGGTGTAAACACAAAATTCTAAACTCGTATTGGAGATTCACACAGAATATCTTCAGGAATGTGTGAGAATCCATGACCCGCAGTTGGAGAAAATGACTAATCCATCTCCTACCTCTCCTTCCTTTGCAAGAGACCAGACCAACCTGGATGGCTTCTGTGCAATGCTGATGACCAGAGAAACTGTCTCTGGTGGTTTTGAGGACAAATAAGTTCATGAATAAAGCAAGCATGGTGCAAGGCACAGAAAGCAAGTGGGTTTACACAAAGATACATAAACCCATGAAGAACGTTTGCTACGTCTTGGTCCACTTCTAGGACTGTTTTTTGGGAGCATTTCCTGGTCAAAAGGAAGGCACATTACTCATGTTCCTAACTTCTTGCCACTGTAAACACCCCAGGGCATTGGGGATGCTCACAGCCAAGGGTCAGCCATATAGCACAGGAAGACCAGGGGTGGAATCTTGCCCTGACCCTTGCTAGCAAGTCAGCTAACCTCCCTGGGTCTCAGTTTCACCATCCACAAAATGGGGATGAAACCAAATAGGATTTCTTAAATTTAATTATAAAGTATAGGAAGCACTTAGCACATTGCCTGGGTTAAATGAAGCATTCATTATTTAAGTTATTTGGACCATGAAACAATAAACACCTGCGCAAGAAACAAAATTAAAAAGCACAGAAGAGTGAAGGGTGACCATTAAGTCTTCCTCTATCCCAGGGCCCCAACCAGTCTGATCCTACCCCTGTGTGCAACCTCCATTACCTGTTACTCGGATATTCTTTGAGACATTTTACTTGCTTGCAGATATATACACCTATCTGTAACATATGATATATACTTGCATCTTTTTTTTTTTTACTTAAATGAATGGCTTGGAAATTCTATTATTATTATTATTATTGTTATTATTGAGGCTAAATGCCCATGGGAGGTGACAGCCCCATCTGACAGCACAGAGTGAATCCATCCCACAGAGGCTGGAGGCCGTGGCTCTTCCTCAATTAAAGCAGAGGATGAACGTGAGAAAAGCCCCCATGGCTCCAGGCAGCTTTCCTCCAGGCTTGCTGTCTCTGCACCTCCCCCAATAAATCTGAGTCCTGTGCCTTTAAC